TGGAGGACCCCCCACACTCCCTCTTCTCAGCCCGGTCCATTGCAGCTTCAGTGAACCCCAGACCATTTGCTCCGACGGCCAGCCAGAGGTGGGCGACAGTGGCCCTGCAGTACTTGAAGGAGTCCGACACCATAGCCACACGGCGTCAGGAAGTGGCCTCAGCAAAAGCACCAGCAACCCCGAGCCCACAGACACCAGCCACCACAAACCCAAAGCCCAAGCCAAAGCGAAAAGCATGGGCAAAGGCAAAGCAAACAGGGCAACAGCAGGAACAGGAGGAGGAATAGACAGGTCCCTCTCTGATGAAGCACGTCTGACTGAAGACATCTCCTTTCTGCAGTTCCTTGCCTCTTTGCCTCGTTGGGTTCTTCGTTCCCGGACTCGTTTTGGGTCGTTCCTTTCAAAGCCTTTCCATGTCAAACGAACGGGCTCCTGCCCTTCCTCCGCGATCTTTCCCCTGCCGGCTCCTCGCCTTGGACTTTTTGAGCCCCAGGGGTCCCCAAGTACCAGTGCAACTCAATGGAAGAAGCTTTGTCTTCAGCGTGCGCTTCATGTCGTGGTCATGGCTCTTAACTTTGTCCACAATGGCTTGCGCTTCCCTGACTTGGACTTACTTGGGAGGTGCCCCAATGCTTTGCAGTTGTCGGTCTTTCGCCGTCTCAGGGCACTGTTGGTTGCGTGTGACCTTCCTGGTCGATTCCCTGTCGCTCCTGGCAGGTCCGGTTTTGAATTCATTGCGCGTCTTGTCGAGCTCGAGCATTTTGCCGGCTCTGTTCCTGAGATGAACCCCGATCCCTACACTGGTGCCTCTCTGAACCCTCAACCTCTGGAAAAGATTGGTAGGATCGGGTCTGCACATAGGTTCACCTCAAAAGCCCAGTTCTCAGCTATTCAGCCCTACCGTTCCCTTGTCACCTCTAGACTGAAGATCTCGGGCACTGGACTTTGGCCCCTTGCTGACTTCCTTGATGGAATTTTGTGGCTGCCGTACCAAGAACCTCTTGTGCTTGAGCACCATCAGGATGTGGTTTGGAGTGGGCCTGATTTGAAAGGTGAATCAAAGGAGGAGAACCTCCGGCTCTTGCGTCTTTGGGATAGCCAGGGTTTGCTTGCATTGTTCAATGAGCCTCATCCTTCAGGTTTTGAGTGCCGTGTTTTCAATGCCCATAAGAATGAAAGCACTGACCGTCAGATTGGAGACAGAAGGTGGTTCAATGGAGGTGAGTATCACCCCCAAGGGCCCTCCCGTGACCTTCCAGGGGGGGCCAGCATGACCTCGTTGCACTGCCCGGTAGGCTGTACCCTGGTAGGCTGCGTGTCAGACAGGAAAGACTTTTATCACCAAGCTGCAGTCACCAGACAGCGTGCTTTCTCAAACCTGATGCCCTTTGAGTATCACCCGAAGCTGTTTTCAGGTTCACAGGCTTTGCAAGAGTTGCTCGATGTCCTGAAGGAGCCCACCAGCCGTGAGGTGCATGGTGATCGTCTGCGTATGAAGCCTCGCTCTGTTCTGGTCGGTGACTTGGGTCCCGTGCGGGCTGGGTTTAAGACTGTGTTTCAAGGCGACCATCTTGGGGTTGAGTATGCTCTTCAAGGCCATATTGGACTTTTGGAATCTGCCGGCCTTTTGCATGAAGATGAAGTCGTCCGTAGCCACCAGCTGTTCCCTAGAGGCCCTGTTTGGCAAGGATTGGTCATCGATGACTTCTTTTGCATTTCATGTGAGCCTTCCCATCAGAGCACTGAAGCAGCCGTGTCCGTCAGCCGTCTTGAAGCCGCCGAAGGGGCCTATGCACAGCATGAAGTCAGAGGCTCTGACGAAAAGACCATTCGAGGTGCCGAGATTTTTAAGGTCATTGGTGCCGAAATCAACTCAGGTGTGAAAGCGCGGAATGCTGGCCTTGTTGCAGTATCAGCCCCAATCAGCAAACGTATAGCATTGGCCTCACTTTCCTTGCGTGTTGCTGCCATGCCCATCATTTCTCGTGGTCTTGCGGCTAGGCTCAGTGGAAATTGGGTATCTGTGATGATGTTCCGTAGATGTCTCTCCTGTCTGTTGTCCAGGCTGTTTGCTTTTTGCAATAGGACTGCTGATGAAGGTGATGATATCATGAGATTGCCCCGGGATGTTGCAGAAGAGTTGGTCCTGTGCAGTGTCCTAAGTCTCGTCGCAGCCACCGATGTCTCTGTCCCATATGACTGTTTTGTTTATGCCACTGATGCCTCAAACTGCAAGGGTGCTGTAACCAAACTTGAAGCAGGGGCCCAGATGTCAGAGCTCCTTTGGCTTGGTGGTGATAGGAAAGGTTGTTACACTATGCTTGACAATCCAGCACGTGCCATACTGAGGAGCATAGGTGAAGAGGCAGAAGCTTGGACTCAGCATCTGTCTTCTCCA